GATCTACACTCCACATGGTCCTATGTACTCTCGGGGCACAAATTATTCAACAATATCATCGTGGTTCGCACAACCCTTGCCTCCAACCAAATCTCGAATACGACCCAGCTCGCCATTCACCAATGCTTCCAGGGTTTGTTCAGCATTGCAACCCGGCTTGTTCTCGATTGTACCAGCATTGTACTGTCCAATGTATTGTGCAACTGTCTCATACTTTTCTCGCGTAATCCGTTGCTTCTCCACCGAGACCTTTCCTGTTGGGCGCTTCAGAATACAAAGGCAACTTAGATTCAAAGGCTTGTGGGTGCTTTGGCCTGCTTCCTATGCTCCTAAACATCAGCTAGCATCAGCATACCCAGCTTACCCGGTCACCTGCTAAAACTAAACAGCTTGGACTTGCGAAGTGACCATCTCAAAACGGTCCGTCCGACTCCATTCACACCTCCCCCAAGGCCATACTCTGCATTCACATCATCAATTCCGATGGTGAAGCCACGATTCATCAACCATCGGCTGGTCAGCTTAGCAATACGACTCATGCAGTCAATAGCAGCTTGAGCTCCACAATCACGGATGAGTCGAAAGAAAAGTCCGTTCCTTAGTGAAAAGCAGGGAAAAGGGCTCATCTAGATTTCTCCTTCGTGTGTATTCACGCAAGCCACCTCCAGAGTTCTTTTGTGCTACTCTATTTCTCCAAGTTTGTCCCCCAGCTTAGGTAAGCTTAGCTCCTCTTTGGACTTTCGCAAAAGCACCTTTTTCGCTTCAGCCGAGATTCTTTGCCCCTCCAAGCACCTTTTTCCCCAGGTTTCCACTCAGAAGCTCAGAGTTTCGAAACATGACCCAGCCGTCATTGTGGCACATGGAGGCGTCTCTCTTGGTGTAGTTCTTCTCCGGCACTTCCAGATTCACATGAACTTTGGAATGCTTGTTTGGTCGCAGCATTACAGTAATGGCCTGCTTCCCAGTCCAAAGTTCACATGGCTTAATGATGGCAGGAGGTGGTAGGTCAATCCGCTCTGTGCCGTCCGACAAAAAGCAGCAAAGCTGGCAGAACTTATCTCTTGACAGGAAAACATCTCGTTGAGTCAGCAAGAAGGCACCAGTGAGGAAATCTTGAGTGGCACAAACCTCGGTACATAGACTAGAAGAGGGAGTATCAATCTGCATGGAACGGGCTTGGGACTTACTTTGGCTTTGGCGGTTTGGCATTGGATCAAAGCTTTCCCAATAAGTAGGACTTGGACATTCGGTGGGGAATGACGACAGTCGACCACCAATCAAAGGGGGCTTGAGACCAACTCTAAGTCCTCCAATAGAAGCAAATGGCCTCCAACCTACTAGCCATTGGGTGTCGAGATCAACTCTAAGTCCTCCACAACCGAAATCTAATCTAGTCGTATACTTTCTCTTTGCCGAGGCGCAGCCACTTCTCCACTCTTGGGAGTCACCAAGCCATCACGGACACCCATGAGCTGCATGGCCTCAGCCCTTGCTTCTTCCGTTTGAGGCAGGTGGATGTTCATCTCATCTCCATCGAAATCCGCGTTGTATGGCGCACAAACGCACTCGTTGAAGCGGAAGGTTCGACCAGGCATGACTTTGGCCCGGTGCGCCATGATGGAAAGCCGGTGCAGTGAAGGTTGTCGATTGAAGAGAACTATGTCGCCATCTCGCATGTGTCGTTCCACCAAGTCACCACTCTTTAGACTCTCGGCCATTTGCTTCCGCACGTTCTTCTTCAAAGCCCCGAGGTATTTTTTTCGACCATCCGGGGTGGTAATGAAACATGCCCCTGGATGATTCTCTGGACCTCGGTCGATGGCTTCTCTCAAACGTTGTAGGTTGGCCTCACAAACCCGTTCGGGAAATGTCATGCGCTTGGCTACCCATTCCGGAATCACCACCTGCTCGACACTCACGTTGGGATCAGGCGAAATCACCGTCCGACCAGAAAAGTCCACGCGCTTTCCGCTGAGATTCCCGCGGAAACGCCCCTCCTTTCCTTTGAGCCTGGTGCAAATCGACCGGACACTCTTGCCCTTGATCTGTTGAAGCCCAGACATCTCAGAATTGATGTATCTTGCACATGCCTCCTGAAGAAACTCCCAGGCTTCCAGCACTTGCCGAGGCAAACCACGAGCAAGTTGCTGCGACAAAGCAGTGTTGGCTTCGACTATCCTGACTGACATTGTCAGATCAATTAGAAGACTCAACATGAACCCAAACCACACCACCTATCCATGCCTAGCCCACTCTCGCCATGCACCCCTCTGGAGAACAAGCCAAGACTCTCGCCAACAGCCACCGTGAGATCGTCTTCCCGAGTTCCCTTGTCGCCCATACTCACCGTAGGTCGAATACACACCGGAGGCACCGGAACCGTGAACATGATCAGCTGCTCTGGACGAAGCAAACCGAAGACTTCACGATCGATGGGCCGAATGCGCTTCAACAACTCATAGCAGGCCAAAGGGTTGTAGTCTTCCTAACATGCGAAAAAACACCAAGAAAGTCACTCTACGGGTCCCCCCAAACGCAACAAAGAACGCGGTTTTTGTTTTGAGGAACTGGCACATCATTGAAAAACAACGCTTGAGTTCATGCAAAGCATCTGATGCCTTTTCAGCATATCCTTCTACATCTTTGTTAAATGACTTGGCCTCCTGGAAAGAGAGCAAGAACTCCTTTGACACGTTATCATCCGCATATTTGTTGCTTGGACCCACGGCATGCTTCAGCATTAAAGGCATGCCACTCCCCTTTCTCACCGAAGTATTCTGATGACCACAATGTGGACAAACACGTGCCGCTTTGCAACTTTCCACGATCCGCTTGTGCAAGGTTTGTTTCAGCAGGTCGTCCGTGTTGCGACGTAACCGGCGTGTGTAGCGCTCAAGTTTGTCAGCCGGAAGGAGGAGTCGAGCACAAGACTTGCAAATGCTTTGAAGCACCTGGAGGATTGATAAACTGATAAACCAAAGGAACCATGAAGGTCTGTTTGAACATCATTAAACATGCAAAGTTAGGCAAGAACAAGACGGTTGCCGGAACAAATAACCAGGTTTCCAACATGTCCTCAAATGGCTCAGTGTGTCGTGTTGAACAGGCCACCACCTGGTGAGTGTGCCGCAAGAAGCCGGCATGGAAGACTGGGAGTGCCAGGCTTATGTGGCCGAAGTGGCCATTGCATTCATCCAGGCGTTGCTGACAGGTGCCACACACTCCTGCTTTGGTGTTACTGCCCATGCGTGAATCCAGGGGCCCGAAGACGAAGGGCTTCTCTGTAGTGATATCCTGGTGCACCAAACAAACTGTCGATGTCGTCACATCGGTGCCAACACGAAGAACTTAGGTCGTGAGCAATTCAAGGGCCGGGTTTAATCAAGGGTTCGTGGGCTGCTTTAGATGTAGAATATGGGCGGCTGTGTAGGGTTAATAAATAGGTTAATAGGTTACCAATATAGATGCTACAAATGCCCAAAAGGCCTGCGTTCCATGCCTTTGCGGAAAAAACACCGCTACGGCAGTCTTGGTCAGGTCCGACGGAAGTGTTCCATGGCCCTGCCGAGTGTCATAGTTGTTCTGATTCAAGACCTCCACTTCGCTGTAGGTCGAAATCTCTTCTGCACTCAAGACTGTGAAATTCACCTGGGTGTAAGGAAAGACAATTTCATGATGACAAAGAAACGATCATAGGCTCAAGCCAACTTCAACCAACTCCCCTCTACAACTCTACATTACTCCAAGGTCAACCAACTAGACCCAACATGATTTGTCACTCCAAGTAGCGCAATCAACTTGATAATTGTTGAAGGACTCTTGCACCGTCTCTTTCAGACATTGGGACAGGCTAGTTGCTTCGTCGCCCGAGGCCATGGCCCATTTACATGCTCGCTTTCGACGGTCTTTCGTCGGGCCGGCCGATGTTAGAAATTTGCGTCCGAGCGGAGCAAGGACGCCTGCTAGCTCCTGGCGTAGCTATTTCAGCTACGAAAGTACCTTCTTGCTACTAGTAGCAATGGCCTCCAACCTAGTAGCGATGACCTCCAACCTAGGCGAGATCTGGTGTCAAGAATTATCAGCCGCTCCCACAGAAACTGGATGCCACGCCGCGGCTACGCTCCTAGGCTCCTGAAAAGAGTGATCTGAATGTTGTGAACCCTAAGTTGGACCTCTGAGTTCTTCTCAGTGGCTGCAGTGTAAACATGCTGACATGGTCGAGGGCTTCAAAGGACGAACGACATATCTTCAAAAGCTGTGTCGGGGAGAGCGAGTTTCACAGATTTTGAGACTGAGCTGAATCGGGGAGAGTCAGGATCGATCAAAGGCCGAACCTGAAAGAAGACCAGAGCGCCATCAAGCGCCCGTGATCGCGTTCACAACCGCTGCCGCGCTCTTCGCGACGATCATTGGCGGTTTTTCGACTCTTCATGTCTCCGATTCCTGGCGTGGAGCCCATCGCTAGTAGGTTGGAGGCCATCGCCATCGTTAGTAGGTTGGAGGCTATCGCTAGCAGGTTGGAGGCCATCGTTAGTAGGTTGGAGGCCATCGCTAGTAGGTTGCAGGCCAACGTTAACTAGTATAGGTTGGAGGCCATCGCTAGTAAGTTGGAGGCCATCGCTAGTATGTTGGAGGCCATCGCTAGTAGGTTGCAGGCCATCGCTAGTAGGTTGCAGGCCATCGTTATATAGTAGGTTGGAGGCCATCGCTAGTAGGTTGGAGGCCATCACTAGTGGGTTGCAGGCCATCGTTAGTAGGTTGGAGGCCATCGCTTGTAGGTTGCAGGCCATCGCTAGTAGGTTGGAAGCCACTGCTAGTTGGTTGGAAGCCATCGTTAGTAGGTTGGAGGCCATTGCTAGTAGGTTGCAGGCCATCGTTAGTAGGTTGCAGGCCATCGTTAGTAGGTTGGAGGCCATCGCTAGTAGGTTGGAGGCCATCGCTAGTAGGTTGCACGCCATCGTTAGAAGGTTGCAGGCCATCTTTAGTAGGTTGGAGGCCATCGCTAGAGCTCTTCTTAGCTTGAAGAGAAGTGACATGAGAAGTGACACACGAAACCGACACACGGACGGGCCTCAACATCAACTGGGTCACCATAGAGTTGCGCGAGCATCGTCTGGAAACAGCACAGTTTCATGACATCAAACAAGTTGGAAGATGACTCCTTTCACACGCACAACAACTTGTTGGGCTTACAAAGTGGTTGTGAGATGAAGAAAGCGTGTCCGACCTGGACCCTCATCATCAGCGGAATAAAGTCATCCTAAGTTGTTGAGTGTTTAATCCGTCGTTGAGCTTTTCAACAAAGGAGACTTGGGACTGCAGCAAAGGAGATCTTCTGGTGACGACTCAACTCCATGTTCTTTCCCAAGGAGACATTCAGCAAGGCCGCCAGCTCCTGGGAACATCTGGAACCCCCATCTGTTCTTCTTCCGTCTTCTTCATCGAGTCTAGTGGATCGAACGGGATCGAACCGGACTCTTCAACGGCACAAAGCTCTGTCTGGGCGGATCTCCTTGTCCGTTGGGTTTCGGATGCCAACCTTGGCCAAGATCCCTAGGAGGTCCTTCAAAGAGTCAAGAAGCAGTCGCGTGGATCCTGAATGGCCTTTGCAAACACCAACATGTGAAGCCTGCTGAACAAAACGAGACGGATGTTGAGTTTTCTTCATCAAAATGTCAACTCAGTCAAGGGATCTCCTTCACCACCAAGGAATCTTGAGACTTCGACTCATTGTACACCTGCAAAACGAAAAAAAGGACCTACGGAGTGCAAACACAGAAGCTGGGAACCAAAGTCAACTGTTTCAATGATCAAAGATTCAAAAGCATTCAACTAGCGATGGCCTCCAACCTACTAGCGATGGCCTCCAACCTACAAGATGATCTGAAAGTGGTTTGGAACGCAAATGCCTGACTTCACTGAGTTGTTGAGAGATTCTCTCTCAGCAAACTCCCTGTGTTTGGAGGATGGAGACTGTCCAACAGCCCAAAGAAAGGCCTGCCGGAAATCAATGATCACCGCCAGCTCACAGCCGTTTTCATCCGCCAAGGCCTCCCAAGAGTGCTTTCAGAACTCCTAAAGTTAGTCAAGCTTCCTACAGTCAGTTCTTCAAACGGGGTACCTTTCAAGGCCAAAAGCTAAAAAGATGGTCCTGGTCCACCTCCAGCTGCTCCACTCGCATAAGCCTGGCTGAGCATAAACACGAGAAGTCAAAGAGGTAAACCATCTGATGTTTGCTCAGTCCCTAAGGCTCAAACTCCTTGTAGGTGGCAGTCATGGCCTTAGTTGTCATTGAAAACCATTCAAGGACAACCTGCAAAGATCAACATGGGGAGTTTGAACAAGATTCTTTCGGTGCTGCGAAGCAAACACCATGAAGACCATAAGTGGCTAACCATGAATTCTTCCAAGAGCCAGCCACCCTTTTTGGCCGTAAGCGGATTCTCCAGGACCCGTCGCACGGCAGTCTGGCACAAGAGTCTGTGCAAATTCAAAGCAACATGTGTCTTTTCAAGGGCCTTGTCTATCCTCTTCCCTCGCCCCGTGCTACTAGGAGCAAGGACGCTACTAATAGTTCCTGGCCTTACTAGGAGCAAGGACGCTACTAGGGGCTCCTGGCCTTACTACTTACTAGTAACAAGAAGCTACGAAGGGCTCCTGGCCTTACTACTAGGAGCAAGGACGCTGAAGTAAGCTACTAGCTACCTCTCCCGACCTCCGCGGCATACCCCCCCGCGTGGGCAACAACAAAAAAGGTAACACTACTTTCCCTCACCCAGACTTTCCATCTCCCTTCGAGTTGGTCTTCTACCCTTCAGGTCCCCTCGCCTCCTCTTTGCGATACAGCTTGATCACCAGTTCTTGCACCTGAGCTAAGACCACGCCCGGTGCCCGACGCGCCTGTCCCGACGTCCATGCCTCTTTCATCAGGCGCTTCTCTCTGAAGGTCTTTGGCGTGAGGTTCATCTGCCAAAAGAAGGAACTAGATCATTCAATGGGTTTGGAGTCAAAAGCTCGTAGCACTACAACTTGAGAGGATCAATTTCATAAATGCACAGTTACATCCATGGCCTAGGCCAAGACAATGTATGATAATTAACATGCACTTAATATCCTTATATAAATTAGACACCCAGAAACGGGCACCCAAAGAGCAGAAATCACTCACCGCAGTCAGCTGCTGTGCCTCAGCCAGCGCCCGTAAGAGTGCCTCTTCAGGAAATTGCTGAAAGCACCAGGTTGGAGGCGGTCGCTAGTAGGTTAGAGGCCATTGCTATGAGTGGTCGACGCTTCTATGACCGATCCACGCCTGGCTGCTGAGAAAGCCGGGTGTGGTCTCTGAAAATTTCTGGAAGCAAAGAAGTGTTTTCTCCTCGGCGCAAAACTGCTTGGAAAGTCCGTCCATTTGCGAACTGATTTGTTGAATCAATCAAGCTGGAAACTTGGGTTCGGGTGTACCATGTTTTAACATCTCTCTCCGGATCAGCACCAAGACCAAGCACACCTGAGGGCTTTGAACTTCGATAAAGTGACAAGTAGTAGAGTGGTTTTTGCCTTGAGCAACCTGTGTCATGGGCAATTGCTATCTTGTTGGGCAATATGATGCTTCCACAATGTGATCTGAAGGTGCTGCTTGCTGAATTGGAGAATTTAACACATGCAGTATTGTCTCCCCCGGAACCTTCCTCATTCTGCGTGTTTTCACCACGGAGCTCCAAGAACGAACGGCTGTTGCAAAGCAAAAACCATCTAGTCTACCCCTGGTCCATAGTCGATTCAGGTTCAACTTCCCTGATTGAAGGCAATCGCTCTTAGGTTGGAGGCCATCGCTACTAGGGTGGAGGCCATCGCTAGTACGTTACAGGCCATCGCTCTAAAGAATTCCTAACGTGTTTCGCAGCACAC